ACACAAATAACCCTGAGCAAAGCGTGGGGCAGCCACAGCAGTGCCCTAGGACAGCATCTTCTGTTCTCCCTGCTCTGCCTTGGTGGCATTTTCACCCTCCAGCTTTGCCAGCACCCCTGCCTTTACACCCCAACACACATTTTCTTGCACCCTTCACTCAATACACGAAACACCGAAAACAACAGAAAGAATTAGTCTCTACATATTGACCAAAGTGCAAAAAACCATTATTCCAAAACAGCCTGAGTCAAGAAACAAGAAATGTTATGTCTTTCCATTGTAACAGAGCCTTATTTATCACATTGGAAAGGGTACTTTGTGGAGGCAAATGGCCAACTAGTCCCTTTGATACATGGAGATGCTTCAAGATAGGTATGATATAGAAAACCTCAGCAGAGATATGTCCCAGCTAATCTGACAGTTATCTCTTTTACAGCCAACTACTGTCATTTCAGTCTTTGAGAACTGCCAGAACTGCTCTGATAACTGCAGACCTAAACACAGCAGAGGAGAAAGCCTTTGTTAATTAAGCTTCCTTCATTTTCCTAGTGATCTGGGCTCAGCAGAGCTCCCGGGGAGCCGCTGCTGTGTGGCCCTTTGTGCTGGTGATGGACTGCCACAAGTCCCCCCCCAGACAGCTGCAGATCCTCCTCTGCCGCCTGGAACGCTCTTTGGGATGAAATGCTGCAGTCCTGCCACAAAACCAGACTAATAACTCAAATGGAGCACGGCAGATTCCCCCTTGGAGGGGAGGGAAAGAAAAAAAGCCCTCCCTGAAGGATGCACAAACCTGCCCATTGTCCCAGGCAGCTGATCCAGGGCTGATTTTCCCAGCACGGTGTCGAGTTCCAGAGGAGCCTATTTATACTGAATTCATCAGTGGCACTTTGTGCCCAGAAGAGCCTAGCTCTCTATTTTCAATCAGTTAGTGGCCATCAGACCCTGATGGGGTTTCTGGAACTGTGGGTGCTTTATCCTCTGTTCAGCAGGCATTTGTTTGGCCACGATGAGCTGTTTCTCTGCTCTGTTCAAGCTGCAGCTCCTCACTAGGAGATACTCAGTGGACTTGGAAGTGTCACATTTGAGCCCAGACTTACTTCTTACCACTTCTAATGGCAGTTTGCAGTTCCTTTTTCCCGGGTCTGCCCCCACATACACCTCCAAGTCACTGGGTTGTTTCCCTTGCCCTGGAGAGGTGCCTCCCTCTCTCCTCCTGATGGGCAGAGCTACCCTTTCCCTCTGGTCAAAGTCACTGCAAGAAATGTCATCACCTTCACTGGATGCACAAGCAAAGTAGAAGAGAGAAACACTCTATCTTGCAGGTAATTACTTTCAGAGCTGCATTAAATGAGCTGATGAGGGGACTTTGATCACTCACACCACCTTTTTCATAGCCAGATCATGACAGCTTCCCCCCCAAACCATCCAAAGTCCATCTTTGCTTATTTGCTCTTTCATATTAGCCACCAGCCAGCCTCCTCCAAGCAGACTCACCCACAGGTCCCTTCCTTTTCCCAAGGGAATGTTTTTGCCATTCAGAATCGTCACCCCAGAACCACCAAAACCAGTTACCCACGTTCCTGTGCCTACCCCAGTGCCCACAGCTGCAGTTCCCAGTGCTGGTGGGACCCCTTCCAAATCCTTCCTCAGGACCTCTGCCAAAAATACAAAGCAAAACAAGGGCTATTCCCTTTGCCTCTTCCTCCACCTCTTTGGTCACTTACCTGGTGAGGCACTTGGGGTTCAGGGAGAGAAGAAGACTTGGCAGGGCAGGAGCAGTGAGGATTTCTGTGGATCTGCAGTGGTTAAAAAGGTTCCTGCCTCAGGACCACCGAGGGCTGAGTGTCCAGTTTATGATTTACAGCTCACCATCTCTCTTCCCAAGGTCCTGCAGGCTCCTGTGTTCACACAACAACCCTTTTCTATTTTATGTGCCACTCAGCTCACTAAATGCCCCCGGGCTAGTCCAAGCCTCGTTAATACCTTCACCCATGCAACCTCCGGGGAGAAAACAGCTTTTTTATCAATGGAACTGCCTGGAAAAACAACACAAACATGGGGTTTAGCACATGGGGGGAGAGATTCCAGGCCTTTTAGTTAGGAAGCTGCCAGACTGCTATGGACTGAGCCAGGGCTGGGGAATTGGCTGCCACTACAGGGAGAGACGTGAGCCCTCGGCCCCACTGCCCGGCTCCCGAACAGAGGGGGCTACAGGAGCCTCAAACAAACCACTTAGAAGGGATAAAAGCAAAGTATTACATTTTAATTGATCTAATCTTTGGCTCCCGGTGGAATTTGCAGAGATATCTTACTAGAATTACTCGGGTTTTATCAGGAGACAGCAATACTGGGAAAGTGCCTTTTTGCAGGGCAAACCGCTCCAGATCTTGAACTGCATTAGCATCAGGACTGGCTGAGCAAAAGAGACCCCACTGTAGTTTCAAAGATGAGAATCAAACTGGGGGAGAGAGGGAACACGTGAGATGTAAACCCACCTGGGCACACAAATGTATGTGGGCACGGGCCCGTGAATAACGCTGCCTGCTCCCTCGGGTGTGATACCTGTGAGCATTTACCAGGCAGCAGAAAACACAGGGCACAGAGACATTGCAAAAGGCATCTAAATTACTGCAGCTTTTATCCTCCTCTTCTGAGGTCCATTTCTGCTCTGAGTGCAAAACCTCTGAACATTAAAAAAAAATAAATAAATAAAAAAGAGAGGAGAGGGCAAAAGGGACGTGTGACAAATCTCGTTAAAATACAGACCCAGATCTAAAATACCATGTGGGTGGGGCAAGCTAAGAGGAGAGATAAAAAGCAAAGACACTGAGATACCAGGTGGTTTCCCATCATTTTTTTTTTTCTTGACATCCTCTGTCTGAGCAGATGACTGGGAGATCTTTGGAGATGCAGAATAATGTCTGGCTCTGTCATGATTTCTCTTTATTCACTGCGTAGAAGGGGTGAAAAAAAAACATCAGGTCTGATAAATGATTCATGGAGCCCTTTCTTCTGCTAATCTGTAAATAAATTTTAAAAAGCAGCTTCTTTTTGATGAATATATTCCGCTGCTCGTAAAAACATGTCGGCCCTTAAGCACAACACAGGCACACTCACTCAGATGTCTCCAGTGCTGCTGTCAGGGCTCTGAAAGCCCAACCTGGCTCCTTGCAGATGGAATTTTACTGAGTTTCACCTCAGCTGAGGACCTGCCTCTCCCATCCCCTGGCTCTGGAGGGGTGGAGGTGTCTTACCTTATCTCACTGCTCTGTTTAGTCAGAGAGAGGGGAACATCCTGTGGATTTAGAGAGATGAAGGCCAGAAAGGACCTCTCTCGTGTGACAAATCCTGCATAACAAGCTCTAAATCCTCTCCTCCTTGTTGCATGGTTTAATGTCACTGTGGGGCAGGTGTTTTTCTTTTCACAACCTGCTGGAAAACAACAGAACAGCCCTCCTGTGCCCATCACCACACCCCATCCATCCCCTGCACACCCTCCTCAGGAACATCTGCTGGAGATGGGCTCCTGCATTGGACTCCCATCCCCCTGGTCAACTGAGATCCAACCAGCAGGTCTGGGAAAGATGCAAAAAAAAAAAAAAAAAAAAAAAAAAAAAAAAAAAAAAAAAAAAAAAAAA